CTCCCTGGGTGCTGTAACTGGGCCACCTGTCAGAGCCTCTCCTGTGGCCCTCAGCCCAGGCCTGCCTGAGTAGCAGGTGTTTATGGATTGAGCACAGGAGAAGGTGGAAGCCAACGTGGGTAGCGTTGCTGCCCTGCGTATGGTAATTTTTGTGGTCTGTTCCCTCCGGGGACAGAGGTATTAACCTCTTGGGGATGGTGCTGGAGGGAGCCATGGGTGACTTGGTCACCTCTGATGGTGTACGTATACATTGTCTTGCTGGTACTGGCTCAGGGCCAAGGCTTGTGAGATGCCAATAGCCCGGAAAGGCAGATTAAACAGGAGCTCACTCCCCAGCCCTAGCTGTCCCCCTCCTTCCTGGAACATGCACTTGGCCTTGCCACTGGCTTCTGCAGACTGTGGCTGGGAAGTATGTTGCAATTCTCTCCCAGGTCCGGCTCACTGGTTGATGCAGAATTCTGCCCAGGGCCTTCCCTCCAGGCCCTTAACCTGGGCCTGCCCTGGGGCACGTGTCTGAGCTCAGTAAAGGTTGGGGCTGAGGCTGGGAGACCAACTTTTGGTAGCCATCAGAATGGGGTTCAAGGGCGCCTGGGTGGCTCAGTTGGTTGAGCGACTGCCTTCGGCTCAGGTCATGATCCTGGAGTCCCGGGATCGAGTCCCGCATCGGGCTTCCTGCTCGGCAGGGAGTCTGCTTCTCCCTCTGACCCTATCCCCTCTCAGGTGTTCTCTCTCTCTCATTCTCTCTCTCTCAAATAAATAAATAAAATCTTAAAAAAAAAAAAAAAAAAAAGAATGGGGTTCAAATCCAGACTTAGGCACTTACTAGCTGTGTGACCTTGGGCACGTTATTCAAACCCTCTGAGCCCCGGCACGTAGAGCACAATGCACACTCCAGTGGCCGGCACTAACGTGTGCTCCGTGAATGTTAGCCCTGCAAATCCCTGAAACGTGTACAGCCCCCATCTCACCTCCTCTACAAGGGTCAGCACTTCTCTTTTGATGGCCCCGAGCAGCAACAGTCTCGATCGCTTATTTGACACCTAGTGCATGTTTCCAGCCATTCTCATGGCCCTTTATCCTCCTCCGGTGCCAGACACAGGGCTTAGCATGAAGGAGGATGTTCAGAACGGACAGCCTGAGAGCTGTGGGGCCTGGTTCCATGTCTTCTTGGCGGTGGGTACGTTTGAGAGATTTCCGGAAGTCTTCCTGCGGGAATGGGATCTAAGCCAGGCACCTGAAAGATTTGGGGGGCAGCCGGCCGAGACCCTGCTCATATCTCTGGGGCATGTATCTGGCACTTATCCCAGGCCTAGAGAGGAAGCCCAGCACAAAAGGCTGTGTGTTTCTTTCCTGGTCCAGTGGGGACAGGTGAGGGTTGGTAGGAGCTCAGGCCCCGTCCTGAGGGCGGTATAGCCTCCCGTGATGGAGGAGGCCACGCAGCTGTGCTGGGTGGGAGGTGGGAGGGCTGTTGCATACGACAGGGCAAGGTCAGGCTCTGTGGGGGACACGTGACACTTGCGCAGCCCCAATGTCAAGGGCATGCCTGCAGACAGAGCAGCATCCGTTATGGTACCTGGGCTGGAGGTTAGGGCCCAGGGGTCTCCTCCCGCTGCCATTAGCCTCTGTCTCTGGGCCTCGCTTTCCCTCCCATAGCCACAGGGGCCAGAGGAAGAGCAAGAACTGGGAGCCCAGGGACAACCCAGTAGCGGGACGGACCCTCCTTTGCCCTGGGTACTCTGCTTCACCCTTTGGAGCCTGTGTACCCCCTCGCTCTACTGTCTAGGCCACCTTGCCCCAGGCTGAGGATGGGGAGTCAGCATGGAGCCAACATTGCCCCTGCTTCGAAATGCTTCGGCGGTGGCCGCACCAACCCTGCAGAGGGAGGGCTGTGTTTGGCTGCCGATGACCCACGGGAGAGAAGGGGAAGCAGACGGTTGAGGAGACGGGTTGGGGACAGTGTGCCTGGCAGTGTCGGAGCCTGAGCCAGAGTTGTGGAAATGAGATGCATTTTGCACATGTGTGTGTGTTGCGCATATGTGCACCCCCTTGGCAGACATGCACCCTGTGTCTATTGTGTTGTGTATTGGACTCCTGAGGGAAGGGCCTTGCCTTCCCTTTTCTACGTTAGGAAATGGGGTGGGCGGTGTGTCGGGGATGGGGGATAGCAGCAGGGCGTGAGGGAGCCAGTTCCCGCCCTAGAAGGACCTCTGGGAGCCTTCATTTCCTCCTCTGTAAAATGGGGACAATAATATCTACACTATAGAGACATTTGGGAGGATTGAATAAAAGAATACGTCTGAAAATCCCTGGTCTGTGGGAGTTGTCCCCAGTAAGTGTTCATTTTCTTCCTTCCTTCCTTCCTTCCACGGCAAACTTCCCGCACCCCCTGCCCCAGCGCAGGATGGCTGCACTCCCCAGCTATTTGTGGATGATGTTCTTGGCAGATGTTGCTTAATTCTTATAACATCTGGTTTGGAAAGGCAGAGGGCTGGAGTTGTTTTTTTTTTTTAAAGACACTCACCAGGAGATGTCAGATTGTCACTTAATTGCTCTGTGCCTCGGTTTCTCCACTTGTAAATCAGGGATAATGCTAGCAATGCTGGGTAGCTTCTTTGCAGGATACGGTAGACTAACGCAGGATAACAGATGGAAAGTGAACATTTAGCAAAAGGCATCGTGCTCAACCTCACTAGTAATTAGGGAGATGCAAATGAAAGCAACAATGCCATACCACTTTTCATGCATCCGATTGGCAGCCATTTAAAAGAGGGATCACGTCCAGGTGGGCACAAAGGCCCTCTCCTACGCTGCCGGAGCGGGTGGGAATTGCTACCACCTTTCCAGAAGGTAATATGGCGATGTCTGATAAAGGTTTACATGCATGCTCAGTGTGGTAGCTGATCAACCCAGTAATGCTACAGCTGGAGAGCCATGTTCAAGAGCAACCAGAGGCCCCCCACACTTCCATGCAGAGGGAGGGCCATTATGGCCTTGCCTGTGGTGCCCTGGAAATGCCCAAATGCCCACCCGTAGGGGATGCTTTTGTCTCTTATGCCCCATCCACGCTCTGAACTATATGATTTAGCTCCTAAAGAGGGGGGTCAATGGAGCAGCGTTGACCTGGAGGGTCATCCGTGAAATATCATGATGTGAGAAGAGCAAGTTTCTTTTGTGTAGAGGCAGACTCCATTATTCTAAAGATAAACACAGCCGCACTGCTCCATACGTGTGTGTAATGCGAACGTGTTTGCTTGGGTGCGGAGGACGGCCTGGTAGGATGCATGCCCACTCTGGCCTTCAGACATGTCCTGTTAGGCTCATGAAAAGGGAATTATTTGCCAACATTTAAAAATTGAACTCATATAAAAAGCCACGCTGCCAGCTTTTCATTGAGAAAAATCAGAAGCTTTGGCCACACGGGGCCCACGTTCCCTCTTGGCTGGAACACGTCAGCGGCTGCCACTTTTGGACAGAGCCTGTGGCTTCTGAGTAGCCATCATCCCCACCCACCTGGCATCTCCCTCTTTTATGTTCCCAGCGTGGCTCAGGTAGCGTATCGGTTGGTACCCCTGTGATGGGCTATTAACATCCTAAAGCTCAAGGGGGTGGAAATACAGGAATATATGGGGGGGGGCATCTTTTATTATATAAGTACATCTAAGAATCTTTTATTCTTCAAATTGCTGTTTCATGCCTAGTAATCAGGACATTTTAAGTACAGAGTTAGAAGGGAAACAAAAGGGCATCACAGGCCATCGCTGGTTGTGTATTAGGAACCCCGGCCCGGTTATGTCATGGGCCCGGGCTGACAAAGGCCACTCCAGGTCTGGAATGACGGGATCTGAGCTTGTGGCTTGCCCCTGGGTCATGCATGTGGAAGTCTCTCCAAAAACCCCTTCCCTTAGTTCCCTTCACCTCCCCGTGTCTTTCCCGCTTGCTCATCCGCAAGGGAGGTGGCAGGTCAACTTGGGTCCAGATTCTGACCCCAACACCCATGAGCCAGGAGTCTCTGAGCAAATTGTTGAACTAGAGGATGATGTGCAGGCCCTTGGCTAGGGCCTGAGGGGATGCAGAGGTGTGTGGGCTGTGTCCCTGCACGAACAGGGCTGGCATTTTAGAGAGAGGTGGGGGTTCCCAGCTGAGAAGTGTGGGCCCCTCCTGGTGTCACTGCTGGTCTCCGGGAGGCCCATCCCTGAGCTGTTAGGAGGGTAAGAAGGGGCCAGAGGACCAGGGCCCTGCTGTTGTGGGGTGCAGCCACCCTCCCCAACACCCTTAGAGGTGGGATCTCGCCTTGCTGAGCCTCTGGAGGCTAGGCCCCAGATCTCTCTGGAGCTTCGCTCTGAGCCCCTAGAAATTTGGCTTCAGCTTTCTACAGACTTTCTGTGGAGCCCGGCACAGTTACGTCTCCTCTCTGTGCCTCTTTGGACACTGTGGTCTGCTGCCTTCTTTCATATCCAAGTTTTTAAGAGAATATGGTGGATATAAAAAGTGGGAAAAGACATGCCCATTGGGCACTTAGGTTGGGGGATCTGGGCTGTTGGGCCTGCCAGGCCCTCTCTTAGGCCCCTGACTTCCTGCTCAGCACCCATCTCCTATCCCTGTCCCCACACTAACCAAGCCCCGTCACTCTTGGGGCTGCCAAGGCAACAACTCCCTCCTCCCACCGAGCCCAGAATGCCTCAGTCATGTGTCCTGTGTCGGATGCTGAGCTTTGCTCTCGGGGTGTGCAGCCAGCCCTGCGAGGGCAGACGGCCCCACGGCCCCTGCCGCCAGCCCAGGCTGCTGTGTTATACCCAGTCCTGGATGAGGATGAAACCCAGTGATGCAGACAGACCCTCCCTTCTTTCCCATGTGCGCTCCCCCCACCCCCCCACCCCCCAATGTGAGGTGATTCCCTTTCCTCTTCCCAGGCCAGTTCTCCCTGGAGCTGCAGGGGTGGGGAGGTGGGGGCGGGGCTCCCAAGAGCAGACTTGTCACCCTCTCCTTCCTTGTGTCCCCAGGAGTCATGAGGTGCCACGCTGCTACCAGCTGCTTCGTGGCCTGGCTGTTTGTGCTGATCTCCGGATGCTGGGGTAAGTCCGACCCTCTGCCCTTCCCGCCACACGGGGTTCGTGCTCTGGGACGGGGTTTGGGAGAGGACTGCTCCGGGCCTGCAGACCTTGCCTTGCTGTGCGTGTGACCGGGCACGCGCTTCCCTCTCTGGGCCTCAGTTCCTGCAGCACTCCCAGGGCTGAAAATACCAGGCTCCCATGAGGGCAGGGGAGGAGCCTTGGAAAGGCGAGCTCTGGGGGCAGGAGGCGTCCGTGCCGCGAACTGTGCTTGTGGGATGCAGGGCCCGGCCTCGGTTCTGTTCGGTGTCACAGTTGCCGTGGGAGAACCTGCTGTGTGAGGATGTGTGTCTGTGGTGCCCGACTCCGGGGGGAGCCCAGAGCCTAGCAGGGAGAGGAGGACATGGCTAGGACTTACGACATCGAATGCAGGTGAGCAGAGTAGTAATGAAGGGTGGACAGGGCTCCAGAGAAGTCCAACAGGAGAAAAGACTCACTGGGACAGGAGGGACCCAGCCAGAGGGAAAACTTTCATCTGGGCTTTGAAGCCTGGGAAGTCGTTTTAGAGTAGGGGTGCAACGGGAAGGGAATCCCAGAGGAGGGACCAGCTGGAGCAAAGGTGTGGCGGTGAGGAGCCCTTTCCCCTTGCAGGGAGGACCAGCCCTCCTTCCACTGCCCCCTGCAGCAGCCAGATGCACATCAGCTCCGGTGCCCATGGCGGAGGCTGGGAAAGACCCGGGCATGTGCCGGTCCCTTGGCTCCCGGACAGCTGGTGGCCAGGAACAAAGCAGCTCTGGGCTGTGCTGAAGGAAGGCCAGGACCGCAGGCCCGGCTGTCTCCTGGGGCCAGGGTGTTCCCGGGGAAGAGCTGTGGGCACGGTGTGCCTGGTGACACGGGCAAACACATTCCTGAGTCAGGCCAGCCCCTTCGACACCCCCAGGGAGCCAGGGAGTCTCCGGAGGAAGCCAGCCTTGCGCTGGCTGCCCGACAGTCTCTTGAAATTCCCCTCTCCTGGCCCCTGAGTTTGGAAGGATCTCTGCTGGCGTGCCTCTGTGATGGGGAGCTCACTCGCATCCAGGCAGCCCGGGATTACAACGTAGTCCCAGACTCTCAGGGCAGAGCCCGGGGGTGGGGGGCCTCTCAGATCCTCTCTCAGCTCCTGGCCGACTTTGCGGGGAAACTGACACCTGGAGAAGCAGCTGGACCAAGGTCATGCAAAGCAGGGTGAGGCTGAGCCTCAGTCAGGGTCTCTGATCCTCCACAGGAGCGTCTGTCAGGATAGCACTCCCCCACCTGCCTCTGGGCCCCATTCGGGGGGGCCTCCGTGGGGGCACCCGAGACAGCTCTGACCCTCTGGCTCTGCTGAATGGTAGAAGTCAGGACACTCTCCTCAGTCTCCCCAGGGGCTCTATGACCTTGGACGCGCATGCCCTCCCCCCCCCCCCCCCCCCCCGCCCCGCCGCCTGCTGTGAAGAAGAAATACAGATGTAAAAATAAAACAGGTGCCGAGAGCTGAGCTGTATCCTCAGTAGAGGTGGCAGCTTCCTCCTGAGCTCTGGGGATGGAAGATGGCTCGTGCAGCTCAAGTGGGCACAAGGGAGCAGCACGGAGCCAGGACTCCTGGGTTCCAGCCCCACTTCTCCAGTGGCCTCCCTGGGGCAGTGTCTTAGCCTCTCTGTCCTTCAGCTCTCTTATCTCTAAAGTCAGAAGGACCATAGGACTCCCCTCCTTCAGTTGTCAGGATGATCGGATGGGTTAATGCACATATCAAGCCCTTAGAATAGCGCCTGGCATGTATTAGGTGCTAAGTACGTGTTAGCTCTTTGATTATGAGCTGTATCTTTCTCCGGGGGAAGAAAACTGGGGCACAGAAAACAGAAAGTTAAGCAAGTTGCCTGAGACCACCCAGCAACTGTATGGCAAAACCAGCCTGCTTGGGGGTTAGTCTGTTTGTGTGTATATGAGGGGTGCTCTCTCTCTCATTGCTGGGTATGGTCCCCTCTTTCCGGTCCCCATCTGAGGTTGCCAGTGTTATTCCTTTGGCTTGGTGAGACCATGGCTGCCTTAGGGACTGAAGGACACCATCTTTGCACCCTGCTCTTCCAACACCTGCCCCTGACCCCTAATCCTTCCCTTGTCCCCCAGACCATCCCACATCACCTCTCCCCACTTTGTTTTCATCTGACCCACAGCCCCAGTGGATCTCTCTTCCCATCCTGGGCAGTCAGAGATGGGTCAGGCTCACGGCTAAGCCCCCCTAGTTGTCACACCCCCTTGTCGGCCTGTCATCTCTCTGCCGAAGCTTGCTACCCTCCTCCTCTCTGGTCTCAATGTGTTCTCAATGTGGGCTGGTTGGCAAGGCAGGAGGTGAAGGCCTGAGCAGCCCTGCCCTGCCCCATCCTTGTCTGGCCTGGCCCCTGAGCATCCTGCTGAGTCCTGCAGTTGGTCCCCAGGCAGGAGGCATGGGGGTTCCTGATGGTGGGGCTACCAGCTCTCATGCCCGATGGCAGCAGGTCAGGCTTCTGACCCCTGGGACGCCCAGGGCCCACAGTGCAGCCACTGCGACAGGATACCCCTGGCAGGGAGGCGGGCTGGGAGGGCAGTGCAGGGCTTTTCTCCTGACGCTTGGAAATGGGGGCCAGAGAGAAAGAGGGATTTGCCTGAGGCCATGCATGTAAGGCCTCTAGCTTTGTCCTCTCTGCCCAGGACTCCTCCCTTGTCAGGGGGCTCCCCACAGCATGGATCTCAGTGTGAGCCCCCGTGCTTCCAGCCCCCCATCAGCGATCAGAGACCTGGGGAGGCAGGCGTGGGCTGGATCCAGGCCCAGCTGATTCAAGGCTCTGCCACTTCCCAGTGTTCGTCAAGCCCAAAGAGGAATCCCCCCATCCCACGACCCTGAATAAAGTCAGTGTTTCCTGGCCTGGCGTCCCCAAATTGCGCCTGGTGCCAGTCATTCTGGGATCAGGTGCCCCAGGCCAGGACACTGCCCTCCTCTGTGCCCTTCCCGAATCTTTGTCATTCAGCAGCGGCAGCCCGAATGCTGTGTTCTCTGTGAGCCTCCCTGCTTCCCGCTGCCCTCAGGCTGGCGGCGGTGAGAAGCTGGATGCTGGGTGCTGTCGGCCATATTCAAAGCTGGTGGACTCCTATCTACTGTGTAGGGAGCAAGCAGTGAGTGGCCGGGGAAAGCAGGGAGACGCCCCCAGGGCAGAGCGAGCGCTAGATGTAGACTCATGGGGACGGGGGTGTGTGGGGTGTGTGGGGCACGGACAGAGGAGCGGGTCCTGGGCACGGGAAGCTGGGACTCTCCATCACTCAAGTCCCCTGTGCCCCCTCTCCTTGTATATCCACTCACAGTCCAGCTTGGCTAGAGGTCTCGAAGCTCCTGAGGCAGCCGTTTTGCTTCAGGAGTACAGAGCCTTGGTGCCTTAAAGTGGTTTTTAAGAGAACGAGTAAGTAACCTGTCCATGTGCCCCTTTCCCCACCCCCTTCTGCCAGCCCCTTCCCGGCCCCCGGGTGCTGCCCTGGCAGCCCAGGGCCACAGGGCCTCTGGGGGCAGCAGGACTATTCTGAGAACACAGGCCCTGCTTGGTATGTGGCAGGGGACACGTGCCCCCGAGGCCCTGCCAGCTACCCGTGTGGAGCCCTCCGCAGCTGATTATCGGCAGGTCCTGTAAAAGAAACTTTTAAAATGAATAATGCTGCTGCAGGCGATTTTTTTCCCTCGGTTTCCCTCTCCTGCTGCCCAAGCCCACTGCTGTATTCTCTGGGCACCCCTGAGCCTTCTCCCTGGGTTCACCCTGCTTCCCCTACCGGAGCCCAAGGCTCCTCTTGGTGATCCAAAGCATCGCCCTCTGGCTGAGCGTGTGGCACTGTTATAACTACCAATATTAATAGTAGCTACCATTTATCCAGTGCTGGCTGAATGCTGGGGCATGGCGCTAAGCGCTTTACGTATGTAATCTCTCCTGATCCTCAGGACAACCATGAAGAAGGTCTTATTGTTGCTATTTTACACCTGAGTAACCTGAGGCATGGGTAGATCATGCAGCTAGAAAGAAGCACAGCGAAGTTCCAAACAAAGGCAAGGCCCTTGACCAGTGGCCTCTTTCTGAGGCTGTTATATGTGCGAGGCGCTCTGGATTCCTGGTCTGAGAGGGTGGAAGAATGTGTATGAGCACATGTTTGTAGTAATGGTGATCAAGGCGGACTTCCTGGAAGAAAGGGTGTCTAAAATGAAACTTGAAGGATGAATAGGACTTGGACAGGTGAAGGCAGAAGGGTCAGCAGTCCTAGCCAGGAAGGGAGAGAATGTTTGAGGAATCAGAAATGGCATCATTCTGAGCACATTTAGGGGGAGGAGGGAAAGATGCCACTTTGCCCACCCCTCCACTAGGAGCCATCTCAGGCGGGAGGGGGAAGCGCCCTCCCTTGGCTCCAGCTTCTCACTTCCTGGGAGCTGGCCTCTGTTCTCCAGCCGGGCACAGGCCCTGAGAGAACCCCAGGTCAGCAGAAATGGGGGGCACCCCAGAGGACCCAGCAGGAGCTGCTTACGGCGGCACAACATCAGCCCGGTGTGGGACAGACCCGATACCCACTGGTTGGCAGGGGCAGAAGGGGAAGTGCCCTCCTCACTTGCCTACTTCTGGGGTGTCTTCCCACACCAACAACCAATTCTTCAATTCTCTGGATACCAACTGGGTGTCCCACAATTTACTCAACATTCAATTCTGACTCTATCTGGCGTACCTGTGAGAGTACACAGATTTAAGGGTTCAGGCCTACAAGACCACCCCCCCTTCACAGCCAGTCACAAGTCCCAGGCCCCCTGTACCCTGACCTACCAGCTATAAGTCAGGGGTTCCTGTGACCCCCCCGCCCCCCCCCCCATGACAGATAACCTGCTGAGAGCTCCCCGGGCCATGTCCGGCTCTGGCCCACCAGCTGTGTCCTTCTCACACGCCATCTGCAGCCAGGTGGCCCCGGAGGAATACGACGTGTGTGACTTGAAATTTTCTAGGGGCCGAATTAGAAAAGAAACTCATTTTAATAATAAGTTTCACCCAATATATCTGCAATATTTTCATTTCAACGCGTCATCCATATAAAAGGTTAATGGGATATTTTACACCCATTTTTTTTCATAGCAAGTCTTTGCAATCCTGCATGTATTTTATGCTTCAGCACGTCTCCGTGTGGCCCAGGATGCCAGGGCCGCATGGGGCTGGTGGCCTCGCTGACCATACGACCTCCCTACTGGCATTATTCCCCGTTTACCTCGGGGCAGGACGGGGACTCGCTGGGGTCCTGGGAAGGTGGCCCTAGATGCAGGCTCTGTGCCCTCTGCAGCTCCCATGCTGTGTCTCCTTCCAGAAGCTGGCATAAGGGTACTTGACTGACACTCTTGTCCTCTGACTTCCAGGCCAGGTGAACCGACTGCCCTTCTTCACCAACCACTTCTTTGACACATACCTGCTGATCAGCGAGGACACACCTGTGGGTGAGTTGGCACAGGGGCTGCTGGGCATGCCAGGAGGCGTGGGGTGGGTTCCGCTCCCCCAAGTGAAGGGGATCTTAGAGATGGAGGCCATCTTCCGCCCATCATTTGGAGGCTCTTCCATGATGTTCGTACGACCTCTTCTTGGTTGTCCCCGGGGATGAGGCGCTCAGTACAACCCAGGGCTGTTCCTTCCAACATAGGGGAGTTCTGAGTGTCCAAGGATTTATCACATTGAGCCCAACTTGCTTGACTTCCACTTCGGCACTAGTTTTGTTCTACAAAATGGCTCATTCCTCTTCTTTGTGAAATTTAAAGATGGCAGCTGTCATAGGTTTTGTTTTATAGCCTTTTGTACTTAGCTGTGATCACTGAGTTTTCTGCATCGAGTGTGCCTGTTTTTGTCATGAGGGGAAAAAAAGGACTATTTAGGAGGTGATCACGAGCACCCCTTTCCACCCCAGCTTGAGTCACCTCATGACACAGCTCTGTCCCCATGATCCTCTTCCCGAGTGCCTGGCTTCTACAACTGCAGCGGGAGATGTACACACATAGCCCTGTGGCCTTCGCTCGGCTCTGGGGACCAGGAGCTTCTCAGAAATGGGGGTTGAATGGAACAAACCCATCTTGCCGCTGTGCTGATGGGAAGGCTCTCGTTCCTGGGAGCATGCTTGCAAACAACGGTGCCTGGAAAGGTCCCTCCTGCCTCCCTCCACACTCCCTCCTCGGTCCTCATTCTTGTGGGTGTCATTTTAGGGAAAGTGCCTGTCACCTGCGGCTTCTTCAACTCAGGTCTGCCTACTCTGTGGGTCTAGGGATGGGGCTGTGCCCCAGAAGCAGTGTACTGGGGTTGGTGTGGTGCATCTTTCTGGAGCATCGCTTGTCCTTGAAAATGAAGTGGGATGGCATGCAGAGGGGAGGGGTGTGAAGATATTGAACTCATAGTTCATTTTAAACATTCTTTTATATAAAACCAAATGTAGATGTGTGATAGAAGAGGAGCAAAATTCTTCAAAGAAAATCTCTGCTTAAAGACCGGAGCCTTAGTGGGTCCCAGAGTCTCCCCGGCTGTTTGGGGGGCATGACAGCAGCCCCTGAAGAGGTGTTTCCTTCCAGTCTTTCTGGTGGAAGCTTTTTTCCAGGTGGGTGCGGGGCATAGCAGGTGTGTTTCTGACTATTGTGGGGATTTTTCCACAGTCCAGTGGCACTTCATTTCTAGGGCCCATGGGGGGTCTCTATGGAATGTGGCAGCTCTTTTGGTGACTAGCACCCCCCATGGATCAGCATTGAAAGACTGGATTTGTGGATGTAGTTATTTAAATGGTCCTCCAAGAGGGAGGCTGCCTGCCTCTCTGCAATGTTCTTCCACAGGCTTACTCACCTTCTAGTGGGGGGTGGAGAGGGTACCTAGAAGTCTCTTGGGGATGCTGCTGAGCTGTTTCCTCCCCTCGGGGTTGTGTCAGGGCATGCTTGTGGGCTTCTGGATTCATCTGGGGTTTCTCCCCACACCCAGGCCTAGCATGGGGCTGGTGCAGAGATGGAGAGCAGGTACCTAGTATATGTGGCTCAGTAAATGAATGAATGTTAGCAGCCTTTATCATCCTTAGAGGCTCTTTGGGTTCATTCCTCAGTTCATCAGATATAGAGAGTGTGCACCCTCCGTGCTAGGCCTGGCCGCCATGCTCCCAGAGCAGAATTCGACAGAAGGATAAGTCAATGTCGCAGTAATGGGGGCCGGCCTGGATGTCTGATTAATTCCCAGTGGAGGACTGAAGGAGGAAGGGGTGTCCCTCTGGGGACAGAGCAGAGGCAGGAGGAAGCAGGAGAGGTTTGGGGGAGGTGGTGGCCCTTGAGCAGAGTCCTGAAAGGCTCCCTTTCCATTCCTTCACACACTATTTCCTGCAGCTGATTTTTAGGAGATTCTGTTCTAACCCCATCCTCCTGGACATTGCTTTGTGGTGGAGGGAATATATTCGGGACAGGTGGGCCATTGAGGCAGAGGTGTGGCCACCACTAATGGGCCAGGGCTGCTGGCTGGGAGAGGTGAAGGCTGCTTTCAGGTGAGCGGTGCTGGCTCCGTCACCCCATCTGTGACCCTGCCCAGCCCTAAGTGTGGGGTTCTCAGAGGCCTGTGGTGCAGGGAAGGTGGTGGGGTGGGACGGATATTGCTTGGCCTCTGCTGAGAATGATGAGCCATAGGCTGGACGTCCCCACCCCAGTGAGCCCTCCAGCAGGCCCTGCTCTAGTTCCCTTTGGCTCTGGCTCTTGACTGTCTTCTGCAAATGCTAGGATCGATCGGCTTCCGGGAGCAACTCCTAGTACGTGGCCCCATTAAAGCTGTGCTTGGCAGTCACAGCAGGGGTGTCTGTCTGGTGCAGTGGGGATTGATCCCTGGCTCTGGGGGACCGTAGTAATGAGACAGGGCTCAGTGAGCTGGAAGACAGCTCTGTTCCTTCCTCCGGGCAGGGGCTGGTGCTGAGCGGGGCCCTACCCTCCTGGTCCCTCCCTTCCAAGATGGGGCAGCAAGCTCTGGCCTGAAAGGCGTGAATTCAGTTTTTGTTCTTCACTGTGTGGCATTGGGCACAGCGCTGCCCCTCTCTGGGCCTTACCTCCCATCTCACCGATGAGAGGGCGTTAGAAAGATGGGTCCAGTGGGCTTTGGCTTGGGCAGTCCTGCTGGCTCAGTGTATCTCCAGGCCCTCAGATAACAGGCCAGACCTCCCCTGAGTGCTGTCACCTCTGTGACCCTGAGCCATTCAGAGGTTGATGTGGACTCACATGGTTGTGGCAGAGTACAGGCCTCAGACCGGCAGAGGCCAGGGCGAGGGTAAGGGTTGAAACAGCTTGTCCAAGGGGCTGGCCCTTTGCTTGCCATGTGGAATGGGGCGGCCCAGAGACTTGACCTGGAGGCTTGGCCCTCACTGGCCCTTTGCTTTCTGAACCTCAGTGTTCCAGCCTGCAAAATGGGGATGGGAGTCCCGTCTTTGGATTCCATACCCGGAGTGTTTTGTTACTGAAAGGAGAGCCTGTGTGTGGCCCGAGGATGACTGGTTGAGCTCTCCTGCCAGCCACAGCTTTGCGAAGGGGACAAACAGGTGCAGAGAGGAGCTGGGTCTAGTGGGCTGGTCAATACCAATGGCTTAGAGGCAGAGCCCAAGTCAGTCTGAAAGTGGCAGGAGGTCAGAGCTGTGGGCAGACCAACTTCCAGCTCTGGGGCTGATTATCTGGCTTCTCCTTAATGTATGATGATGGGGAGCTCGTGATCCTGTAAGACGTGCTGTGGGGCGCACCTGGGTGGCTCAGTCATTAAGCGTCTGCCTTCGGCTAAGGTCATGATCCCAGGGTCCTGGGATCGAGCCCCACATCAGGCTCCCTGCTCCGCAGGAAGCCTGCTTCTCCCTCTCCCACTCCCCCCTGCTTGTGTTCCCTCTCTCGCTGTCTCTGTCAAATAAATAAATAAAATCTTTAAAAAAAAAAAAGATGCTGTCGGACAGTTCTGGGAATGAAAAATTCTTCCTGATATTAATCTGAAATCTGTCCCTGGAACTCCCACCCATTGAGCCTAATTCTGACCACTGGAGCCTTACAGATTAATAGTAATAATATATGATACACTGTATATGTGTAATACATATTATTATAATAACTATGTTTATTGAGCACTCGAGGTAGTGTACAAAGTGCTTTAACTAATGTGTCTTCAAATTCCTTTTAAGAATTGGAGTAGAGGTGGCTGCAGGCTCTGTGGGTTTGTAGTTTCTGCGAATGTTCTCTCCTGGGCTAGAGATTGCGACTTGGATTCACCACAAACCTCCTGAGCCTTTGCATTCTCTACGCTCCCTCCTCAGTCCCGGCCAGCGGCAGCATGCTGGGGAGCCGAGTGGGAGGTCACAGATCCCTTGCGGAGGCCACACGTTGTCTCTCTCTATCTCTTCCCCCATCTCCAGTTCCAGTTCCCTCTGCCTGATGATCTTTTTGAGGACCATTTCCCAGCCAGGGAAGACAGGAGCAAAATGAAGTCATTAAGTAGCTCTGCTGCTGCCCCCAGCCTGTTAACATTTGGGGCCCCCTTGTCCCTGTGCGTCTTGCTCCAGACGTGACTATCTGTCTTGGCAGCTAAGCTGGCCTGGGAGGGGCAGAGCGAGGGCAGATCAAGGACTCAATGCCTGGTTGGGCTGGTGGCCTCGCCCCCACGGTGGCCCTGGCTGTCAGCAGTGAATGGCCACATGGTACCTTTAGGATGAGGGATGGTTGCTTCCTGGGTGCTGTCTCCAGGTGACTTCCTGAATCCACTCTCACCAGTATGGCCCACGTCAAGGTCACCAGTGACGTCCAGGTGGCTAAAGCCAGTCCTTAATTCTTGGACCTGTGGCCTTTCAGCCGTTGGTCTTCTCTTCTAGGACATCAGCTCTCTGGCTGTTCCTTAGCCTCCAACATGCCTCCCGCACCCCTGAGCATTGCAGGGCCCCGGGCCCAGCTCCTATATGCCTTCCCCATGTCCTAGCCCCATGGCCGTCTCCTTTGGGCTCATGGCTTCTGGACCTGTCCATATGCTGACAAGTCAGAGGCTTCTGCCTCCTTCCTGGGCCTCCTCACAGAAGACATTCCAGACTTGTGTGCCCACCTCTGTGCTCAGTGTTTCCACCTGGGTGTTGGAAGGGCTCTCAGCCTCAGTGCGCCCGGGCCAGACTCCCGCCCTTCCCCTAGACCCTGCTTCCCCTGAAGCCTTGCCCATCTCAGCTACAACTGCATCCCCCCCAACCCCGGGTTGCTCAGGCTAGAAACTTGGGGTTGTCCCTGCGTCTTCCCTTTCTCCCTCACCTCACATCCGATTCCTCAGCAAATCCTATTGGCTCCATCTTCAAAATATTTCCAGAATCTTCTCACTTCTCACCCCTTCGGCTCCCGCCACCACAGTCCAGGCCTGTACTATCCCAGCAGCTTCTTAATGGTCTCAGGGGTCTCCCCGTCCCCTTGCCCTGCTACAGCCTTTCCCCACCCCT